ATACATAGCGCCAGAAGTACGCGCTCTACTCCGAGTGGGTGGCACGCTGCGGACCATGGTATGTGGAATTCCGAGATCGGGCTACTTGACGTTCGGCCTCCATGATGCGCCTCTCCATTGCGGCTTGGCTTCTACGGAACTCCCTCACTTCGGCTCTAGTAGCAGTGATGTCCTTCTGCAGGGAAAAGGTGTGCTCTATTGTTCGCTCATGCTCTTCGTCCAGACGACGAAGGCGTACCGCAGTGACGGCAGTGGTGGCTCCAATGTCCAAAATTTGGTTGGCATTCACTCTTGCTCGTTCGCCTTGGTTGGCGATGCGACGAACCATGACTGGGAGTGCTCTGTCAGCCGCGCCCCCGTTACTGAGGTTATAAAAACCTCGCTCCATGCCGTATGGTGGTCGTTGTCCTTGTTCCTTGCTCCATCGTTTCAGGTCCACAGCCCAGCGGGGCACCGGGCCCTGAAAGTTCTGTCGGGGAATTGTTGCTTCTGGGGGAGGGTTGTAGACCTCAGGCTCCGAGTCTGTGCTCCCACCATCTCCTTCCTCTTCTGAATCTTCGTCTGGGTCTTCCTCAGGATCCTCTTCGGATTCCTCTTCTGGTTCTTCCTCGGGAATTTCCTCTTCGGAATCCTCTTCTGGGTCGTCCTCAATCCAACCTCCATTTCCCTGGTTGGGGTAGTAGGGATCCCCGGGAATGTGAAAGCCTGCCATTTCGTCTGATCGAGAATAGAGGCAAGAGAATTATATATATATATATATATATATATATATATATATATATATATATATATATATATATATATATATATATATATATATATAACTCAGGAGTAAGAAGGGATATTTTTGATAAGGATAAATTTTATTCGACGATTTCTATTTCTAATTAAATACCAAGGTTCGCATGATTATAACAGTTCTTTTAGTTTTTACAAAATACTCCTATAGTATTTCAAATTTGTAAGTTTGATTCTAGTATTTCATTCGGTAAGTTTTTGACTTGTTGCTTTCTACGACCATTCCCCAACATATGTTGATCATATCTCGGGTAAATATAGTTGATCAGGCTATATTCATCCTTGATCTGATAACATATCCCGAGGCCTAGTCATAGCGTCACAGCTTGTCTTAATACTTTTGAAAATTTTTGGCTATGATACTAGACCGATGCATGCATGTATTTATACTTTTATAAAACTAGTATTTTAAAAAGTATGTTTTTGTTTTTAAATCAGAGGGTTTTAGTCCCTTTGCATTTATAGTTGTATATCTTATGTGGTTCGATATACTTAGTTCACTATAAACAATGCTCTGATACCAATCAGTCACACCCCCAAACCAGAATGGCGGAAACATTCGGGGGTGGATGACTTCACATAGTATCATAACAGTTGAATATTGTAAAGAAAGTAAGCACAACCATCATAAATATAATAAAAAGTTACATTGTTGGGTGTACTACATGTTTCAAAAGAATATTACAAATATGATGATTTAAAATGTTTTGATAACAGACGCCTTAGCGTTCCTTCTCCAAAAGCTGATGGTTACCTGTATTACTGATTCCCTGAAAAATACAAGTAGTTTTGAAAAAGTGTCAACAATTAAGTTGGTGAGTTCATAAGCGTTTTTGTACTGAAATCTGTATGTCCTTTAGTAAAGATAACTGAACGTGTTTTCCAGAAAATCCAATATTTTCTACATATAGTTTGAAAAAGTTCCAAAAACTGGATTGCAATAGTATCTTTTGTGCTCAAATGGTGAAAGTGTATTTATACTAAAATAATGTATTTACTGAATGCATTCAAGAGTCTTATAAATCAAACTTATTTTAATACTCCGTGTGAGTTTTATAACCATGCTATTGACCCAGACTACCTGTAACAACGTTCTTCAGGCGTTGCAGTGTTATGACGTTTGTCACCCCAGACCTGCCGGTCTAACTGTAGCTAACAGTTTAGGTGCGGGATTGTCAATCCCATATAGATCTATACACAAGTATCACGCTCTCCCTACAAGAGATTATGGTTTATAATACTGGACTTGAAATGCGTACTTGAGAGTACGTTGAAGCTGAATGTCTCACAACACTTAGTATTAATAGATTTACGAAAAGTAAAGTCTATATTTCTTTTTAGATGAAAGTATTTCATTTTCACAATGTTTACGTAAAGATGTAATGAATAACCCGTAAACTATACCCATTATGGTTTTTCCGAAAGTGTGTTCCATTTGATGATAAAAACTCGATGTAATACTAACTTTGCATGTAAAGTATAACGTTGATATCAATGTTAACATTTATAAAAATGTAGATGATGTATTTGAACCCGTATAAAACGATGTGCATCTTGGCACATAAGTTTTTCTCGTAATGCACTTGTATTCCCCCCCCCCCTAAAACATGAAAAGACGTAAAAATGTAGGGGTATGAACTCACCTGGAAAGTGTGGTGATTCGAAGAAAACAAGATTTTTCTCGGGCGGCACTTCGACCGGAAAGTGCTGTATTTCTCGGGAATCTCGAAGCTTCGGACCTTCGTCGAGACTGAGATATGAAACAGGGAAGTCGGGATCGTTTCGAGATGCTAACCGGAGAGTAAAAGTGAGAGAGAAGAGTGGAATGAGCAAGAAAAGTCAGAAGTCTCGCATGCTATTTATAGGAGGGGGAGCTGCCCTCGTACGCTGGGCGTACACCGAAGTACGCGGAGTGTACCTCGTACGCTGGGCGTACCCTCGTACGCGGGGCGTACGCCAGCGATGACGTCACGGTCTCCGGTCTTCGGATGGGACTGCAGTAGAGGGTTAGGGGCGACGTGGCCGATCCGAGGCCCTCCATTCAGTACACTGGGCGTACTCCGAAGTACACTGGGTGTACTCCTTTGGATAAGCCTCGAAATGTGTGCCAAAAACTTCAAAAATGCGTAACTTTCGCATATGAGCTCCGTTTTTGACGTTCTTTATATCCACGCGTAGGTGAGAATATACTCTACAACTTTCATTTAGACTTTGTCGGCTAGTTTTGAATTTATTTTTTATTATATTTTATTTAATAGGCCGGGACCGGATAATTCCGTTAAAAATCCATAACTTCTTCATCCGATGTCCGTTTTCGTCTGTCTTTTTACCATTGTACTACTACTGTAGAGACCTTCAATTCTCGTTTAGGTTGCGTCGGCTAAAAATCGCTCGATCTTTATTTCGAGTTTTTAGCTGTCTACTGCTGTTCTGAAACTTAGAAAAATCATAACTTCCTCATACGAAGTCAGATTTGAACGTTCTTTTTATGCATGCTCACGGTTTAACCTAATCTACGACTTTTGTTTAGATACCTAAGACTAAAAAGTATTGTATTGAAGTTTCACTTTTTACGCTTAACAGTGTTTTACCGGTTGTGTCGCGGATTTTCGATTGGTCATAACTTCTTCGTTATAACTCAGATTTGAGTGTTCTTTATATTTTTGGAAACCTTGGCACGATATCTATCACCTTTTGTGTCCCAATTGAGACTTTAGAACACTTCATTTTTGACGCTATTTTCATTGATTCCAAACAGTTTATAATATTTGACTTTTTGAATATTACATTGGCTTGAAAATATCGGGTGTCACAGACAGAGACCAAACACGCAACAAAAATAAACAGTAAAGACCATCCGAGTTAAAAAAATAAGTTAGAGACCAAAAACACACATTCCCCCAAACCACAGGGACCATTCGTTTAATTTACTCTTAATTTTCGTTTTGTTCATATTTGGGTAACTATTTTTTTTACACATCTAGGTAATGAACTTGTTAAAAGTGTTCACATCTAAGATGTAACCTGCTACAGCAGGTCATAATGGTTATATGTAAACACTTCCAACAAGTTTGTTACTTAGATGTGTCAAAAAAAAAAGATAATTATGTGAACAAACCGAAAAATTAATTACCTTAATAAGTTATATTCACTCCGCTTGACATCATATAAACTCTTTATTGATTAAGAATGCATACCCGTCACAATTTTAAGAGATTCTTTTAGATTTTTGCTACTTTCATGGTCTATCTGAATCATTTAATGAACACCAAGAATTATTGCCACGTTTAGATGTGCATCCTAACAAGAATTATAAGAGATTCAAACTACACTTTTTTATTTTTATATAAATTTAGATGTGCATCCTAACAAGAATTATTGCAATGTTTAGGAATTAAAATTGGCTGTTTATTTAAGTTATTGATGGTATAATGAAATTATAATAAAAGTCTCAGAATACATGCTATACGGTCTATCATGCTACAGAATACATGCTATACGGTCTATCTGTCATGCTACATAGTAATACGTGTATGTTGTAGACCAAATGTCTTTTGTTTTACAATCTCAACATATCTTCTCCTATTAATTGTTATTATAAGCCGTACCAAAAAATAACATCATCCAAACTCTCTTCTGGATTTAATTTAGCGAACAATGGAGTATCTCTTGGTCATCGTCGCACTACTTGTAGCTTCATTTATCTTTATCTTCTCCTCCTACTTCCGTCGCAAAATTTCACCCGTCACAATTTTAAGAGATTCTTTTAGATTTTTGCTACTTTCATGGTCTATCTGAATCATTTAATGAACACCAAGAATTATTGCCACGTTTAGATGTGCATCCTAACAAGAATTATAAGAGATTCAAACTACACTTTTTTATTTTTATATAAATTTAGATGTGCATCCTAACAAGAATTATTGCCATGTTTAGGAATTAAAATTGGCTGTTTATTTAAGTTATTGATGGTATAATGAAATTATAATAAAAGTCTCAGAATACATGCTATACGGTCTATCATGCTACAGAATACATGCTATACGGTCTATCTGTCATGCTACATAGTAATACGTGTATGTTGTAGACCAAATGTCTTTTGTTTTACAATCTCAACATATCTTCTCCTATTAATTGTTATTATAAGCCGTACCAAAAAATAACATCATCCAAACTCTCTTCTGGATTTAATTTAGCGAACAATGGAGTATCTCTTGGTCATCGTCGCACTACTTGTAGCTTCATTTATCTTTATCTTCTCCTCCTACTTCCGTCGCAAAATTTCCAACCTTTCGCTTCCGCCGACTGTCTTTCCAACCCTCCCGGTAATCGGCCACCTCCACCTTTTGAAGAAACCCCTGTACAGGACATTGGCCACAATCTCCGCCAAACACGGCCAAATCCTGCTCATCCGCTTTGGATCCCGCCGCGTTCTACTGGTGTCCTCCCCAACCGCCGCCGAAGAATGTTTCACTAAGAACGACGTCATCTTCGCCAACCGCCCTCGCTTTCTCGCTGGCAAAATTCTTGGCGACAATTACACCAGCATAGGTTGGGCACCATACGGCGACCACTGGCGCAACCTTCGCCGGATCTCCTCCATCGAGATCTTCTCCCCTCATCGGCTTAACGAGTTCCATGACATACGCGCTGATGAAGGAAGACTTCTGATACGTAAGCTGATCTCTGAATGTTCTTCGCCGGTAAACTTCAAGTCGGTTTTGCAGGAGATGACGCTGAACGTGTTGATGAGGATGATATCCGGGAAGAGATATTTCGGCGGAGATATGAAGGAGGAAGGCAAACAGTTCCAGGAGATAATTAAGGAGGCTGTTCTGCTGTCGGATACTTCGAATTTAGGGGATCACATGCCCATCATGAGATGGTTTGGAATGAAAGGGCTGGAACGGAAGATGATTACATTGCAGAGAAAGAGAGATACCTTCCTTCAAGGGTTGATCGAGCAACATCGAACAGTGGATGGGATTGAACCCAAAAACAAGAAGAAGAACACAATGATTGAAGTTCTATTGCAGCTACAAAAATCTGATCCGGATAACTACACTGATAAAGTTATTAGAAGCTTTGTGCTGGTAAAAGTAACAGACTCCCTACAACCTTACGCTAGATTTATGAAACTAGCTATTATACATTTTTGAACATGATCTGCTATATATATGTAATATGTTTCGGGAAATCCTTTACTAACTCTTGTTCCTGTTGATGATTAGAATCTGTTATCAGCTGGAACTGATACTTCTGGCACGACTATGGAATGGGCTCTTTCCCTTTTGCTCAACCATCCACATGTTATAAAGAAGGCACAAAATGAAATCGATAGTCATCTGGGGAAAAACCGTCTTGTGGAGTGACCCTGAAAGGTTTCAACCAGAAAGGTTCGAGAGCTTAGAAGGTACAAAGGATGGGTTTAAATTCATGCCATTTGGGTCTGGAAGGAGATGTTGTCCAGGAGAAGGTTTGGCGATGCGTATGGTTGGGTTGACGTTAGGGTTGCTAATACAGTGTTTCGATTGGGAAAGGATTAGTGAAGAGATGGTTGACATGAGAGAAGGTCCTGGGCTCACCATGCCCAAGGCTCAACCTTTAGTAGCCAAGTGTAGACCACGTCCGATAACACACAATTTAATAGTTTAAACATGTAAACTTATATAAAGCATTATATAAAGCAGGTTTTGCTTGGCATGTAGAAGTGAAGTAGCTTTAAGGGCATATAGAGGATTTAATAGGAGTTGAATAGATGGTATCTAAGATTGAATAGAGGTTTGGTAGCCATAATGCATTGAACTTCATAGAGTTCAATGGATTGTCACAATTTTTTTTACATTCCATACAACTCAAATCAGTTTTTTCCTAAAATGCATTGAACTCTACAAAGTTCAATAGAGAGTTATAAAAGCTAATTTATAATATGTATTTAAGATTAGAAAACTTTCATTCTTCTCATTGAAGAGTTCAATGACCATTGAACTCCAAATCCATTGAATGCCAATATGACATCTCACTATGGTAGAGTTTCATCCATTGAATGACAACTAGACTTGCCACCTCATTCAACCATTTCATTGAACTCGCCAGATGCTCTAATGACATGAAGAATGGTTGAATGAAAAAGTTGTATGATAATTGAGTGGTTGAATGAAATTAATCTTTTATTTTTCAATTAAATTTCAAAAAATATATATATGTAATCATATTCTCTTATATTTTTATATTTGATTTTTATATATTTTTTAATTAAACCATAATTAAAATTAACCATATTTTTAGATATTATATTATTTAATGAAGCAATTTTTAGGTGTCTTATTTTTTTCAAATATATACTAAAAATGAAGTATTTAAGAATAAAAACTCACTTAATAAGAAATGTATCTGTTACAAATCTAATACAAACTAATTTCGATAAAATATTACAGTAATCGAACCATTACACATTAATTTCGACTGTCTTGTAAAAAATGTTCCCAAATATGCTCCATTAAATCATGTCGAAGTGTGTGATGTGTTTCACTATTAGGTAATTCCGAGTTCCTTAAAATTTGATATTCAATTTCTTGGGCAGGTCCTCGATGCACACGTATTGGAGGATCAACATCATCAGACCAATTAGTAACCGCATTTCCTTCATCCTCAACAATCATATTATGTAATATAATGCATGCATACATTATATCCTTTATGTTTGTGAATTGCCAAGATCTTGTCGGACCTCGTACAATTGCCCAACGAGATTGATGGACACCAAAGGCTCTCTTGACATCCTTTCTTGCAGCTTCCTGCATTTCTATGAACTTGATCTTCTTTGGATCAAAGGGATATGTAAAGCTTTTAACCATTGTAGCCCATTCAGGATATATACTATTAGCAAGATAATATCTATACTATATGTACTTCCATTTACACTAAATATGGATTCTGGTGCATGACCCTGTAAGACATCATTGAATAACGATGACTGATTAAGTACATTGATGTCATTGTTAGACCCTGCTACACCAAAATATGCATGTCATATCCAAATGTCATGTGATGCGACTGCTTCCAACATAATTGTCGGACACCTTCGATCACCTCGAGTATACTGACCTTGCCATGTGACAGGGCAATTTTTCCAAGGCCAATGAATACAATCAATACTTCCTAGTATGCCAGGAAACCATGCTTTAATAGCGCATGTATGAATCCAATAGCAACTCATTTTCGTTTGGGAAATTGAGTAATCTAACTATTTTTTTGGGTGTATTTTTTTATTTTTTTAAATTAACCACTTATTCCGGATGAGGCATTGTGAAACATATTTCAGACTCAATTTCGGGTGGGCCGGCCTATTACCGAGTCTCCGGAATTCTAATTCCGGACTATTCGTCCATGTTCCGGATCCGAAATTTGAATTTCAAATTCTGGAATATAATTTGAAAAAATCTGGACCCTCTCCTTCATTTTGGATCTTGCTCCGACCTTCCGATCCGATTCCGACACCGGACCCCGATACCTTTTCCGATCTCCGACACATAACTCTGATCTCCAGCATGCAACTCCGACATGAAAGAAGACCACTACGACCCCTTTATTTTATGGGTACGTTCTTTGCTCCAAAAACCTACTTCTCTTGTTTGTATGCCCTGCTTATTCATCTACAATTATTGTTTCGGAATACATAGAACACATCCGGAATGAACTAAAAACTTTCCGAAGTTTAAATTAAAGATGACATTGTTGTAGGACCAACTGAAAAGTAGTTTAGATGTTTGGGTATTGTTAATTTACATCGAAATGTACTATTCTGGATCTTAGAATTTCTTTCTGGAAGCCTCCGGAATGCGAGGAACTGTTCTGGAATACCAGGAACTCGTCTAGAACACGGGGAACAAGTACGGAACTGTTCCGGAATATTGGTCAGTTTTCGTTTCGGAATGAAGTGATAACACATTTTTATTTGTGCAACACGACATGATTTTTGATGTATCCATTACACTCTCTTACAAACCCAAAATTGGAGGGGAAATTATTATGGCATTCAGAGACAGACCCGAATGCAAGATTATGTTCTGGAATACATGTTTTGGGAGGTTGTTTCAAATTCCTAATGTAGATGGGGATCCTTTGTTTCTACATTACGTCTTTTGCCATTTAGTTGTCACAGACCCCAAAGCGAAGTAGAGGAAATGATTTTTGAGATTGGGGGTTACGAGATGTCTTTCAGGAAGAAATAATTTTGTCTCATCACTGGCTTCCAGTTTGATGACTATTTTTCTGCTTCTGCACTCGACAACGCCTTCCGTTCCTGTGCCTTTCCTATGATCCCGAGGAATGTCTCGATCAAATTAGACGATGTTATGAAGGTGTTTAAACATTCACTTAATGAGTTATCTAACGAGGATGCGGTCCGTGTATGTCTTCAATACCTGTTAGCGAAGGGTTTCAATGGGCGGTTGCCTAAGCAACCTGTTACAGAAGAGTATTTTTCTTTGCTATCAAACCTTGATGCATTCAACAAGTATAAGGTCGTGTATTTCATAATTACTGATTATAATTACTTGTCATTACTAATATTTTTTAGAAAATTAATTGTTAATTAAGTTTTATGTGGAAGATATTCACGGGGGAGGATAATTTGGGATCAATTGTACAAACAACTAGTTACTGTATTCAATAAGGTCGACAAACATATACATCCAGACGAAACCGAAAGAGAAACAACCTCAAAAAATGACCTACACCCGAACTGGGTTTTTATACGCTTTTAAGGTAAGTATATGATGAAAAAAAAATTTGTTTGCTAACATTCTAACAATCAATTTTTTTTTGATAACATTAAGATATGAATTCTTGAGATTTTTTCAATGAACAATTTGTTTGGTACCCGACAGTAGAATGTCATCCCTCGGGATGTTGCATGGTCAAAACCGAGACCTTTACAAAAGACTCACTACAACCAGTTTTTACAAATTGACGACGTATGGTTACTTAATTATGTAAATACTTTTTTATAATTTATGTTTATGTTTATTTTTATTTTTATAATTTTGTTAGCAGGATAATAGAATCGTACAGAAGTTGGAGCCAACAGAAGCTGAGAGACATGTTGAATGGTTGATATTTGTCACACCCCCGAACCAGACGGCGGAAACGTTTGGGGGCTCGTATGACTAACAATTGAATAATCATCACAATGAATATACATGAATCATAACACGATCAATACCAACATTACATAACACAACTGGCATTGTTCATATCAAGTACATTGTTAAAATATATAAGTTCAAATTGTTAAAAGTACGATAAGTGTTATTACATAAAACGAAACCATACACACTTGCATATCTTCCAGCTTAACGATTACCTGAGAATACAAGTTATTTTGAAAACGGTCAACATATATAATGTTGGTGAGTTCATAAGTATGTTTGAAAATGTTGTGTGAATCAAGTATAAATGCATGTGTGAATTTCATAGTTTTAGCTTGTAAAAGAGTGGTTTAGTTTCATGGTATTGTGAATAAATGATAAATGTATATGAATGATTTCCCCCAAAAAATCTGATATTTTCTGTTTTATAACAATGTCTAGATTCTTGTATCGTTAAATAAGTTGTTTTGTATTGACACAATCAAAGAGTTTATCTTCGAAAATTTAGTTTTGGTATTGAATCCCTATATGAGCCGTTATAACCATGCATGATAATGACTAGGTCGCCCGTCTTGGTATTTTTCCAAATGTCGGTCTTGCTAAGGATGTTGTCGCCCTAGACTGGCCTAGTCTAGCTGTAGCGAACAGCTAAGGCGTGGGGGGTCACCCCGTATACATCTATACACAAACTCCTGCTTTCCTACCAGGAAACTCTGATTATAACTACAGGCTACGATTGTACACTCAGTGGTGCCAACCGACAAGTCTCAGTAGATTCTCAACCTCTTTTTGTAGTATGTTTAATGTTTACGTATATGTGAGATGTTTTTGTATTCGAAAGGTACATGATTAAGTTTACGAGGTTTAATGATTACATAAGGGTATCGTTATGGCTTACTAACACATGAAATTTCCATTCCAAGCCCTATTAGTATGAAATTTGGCCACAAAGGCCCAATCACATGTAAAAGGGTAATTTAGGCCCAATAGGCATATAAATGGGCCACAAAAGTCCAATAAACATGTAATCCATAACTTAGGCCCAAATTAACATGTAAGTGGGCCACAAAGCCCAATAAACATGTCATGGAAAACATTGGGCTCAATACACACTTAATTGGGCCCTAAGGGCCCAATGGCCAAGAAATGTGAATATTGGGCCCAATAAATAGTTTTTGACGTATTTTGTTCGTTCGTTTGATTCAGTTGTTTGTTTTAGT